CCTCCTTGGGCAAGTCACACACTCTCAGCCTCAGTGGAAGGCAATGGCAAACCTCCTCTGGACAAATCTTGCCAAGAAAAACTCCATGATAGGTTTGCCTTAGGGTTGCTTTAAGTTAGAAGCAACTTGAAGGCACACAACAACAACACTTTAATGCAGGGGTAGGCAACCTGTCCCCTTTAAGGTCCGAGGGACTTCAGCTCCCAGAATCCCAGGAGCTATTGGCCAACATGGGACTATTGGCCAACATGGCTGAGGCTTCTGGGAGTTGAAGTCCCTCGGCCCTTAAAGGGGAAAGGTTGCCTACCCCTGCTTTAATGAAACCACATTGCAGAATTAATACAGTTTGACACCACTTTAATTGCCATGGCTCAATGCTATGAAATACTGGGATTTATAGTTCTGCGTCACTTTTACTCCCTTTGTCAGCAAGCTTTGGTGCCACAATGAACTACAGTTTCCAAAATTCCATAGCATTGAACCAGGGCAGTTAAAACGGTGTCAAACCTGATTATTTCTTCAGTGTGGATGCAGCCTGACCAACATCTTCACCTCCTTACCTTGATAACCTCGAGAAAGGGGTTGGCACCAAGAAGAGAAGACACCAAAAATTAAATACAGTCCCTATGATTCTATACAGCTAGGTTTGCATCATTTAAAAGATCAGATAAGTCTAGTAGTGTATTGCTGGTCCCAAATACACTGCAGAAATAATCCAGCTTGAAGCCGCTTTAACTGCCCTAGCTCAATGCTAGGGAGTTCTGGGAACTGTAGCTTTGTGAGAATTTTAGCTTTCTCTGTCAGTGTCACAATAAACTGGAGAAATTCCCAGGCTTCCCTTGCACTGAGCCAGGGCAGTTAAAGCAGACTCAAGGTAAATTATTTCTGCTAGAAATAGTGCAAATTGAGTCCACTTTTAGGGTTAGGGTTAGTGCTAGGGAATCATGGGAATTGTATTTTTTTTCTGAGACATTGAGCCTTCTCTTTCAGAGAGCTCTGGTGCCACAATAAACTACAGTTCCCATGATTCCTAGCACTGAGCCAGAGCAGTTAAAGCGGACTCAATTTGCACTATTTCTGGCAGTCTGCAAAGGCATTCTGGCCACTACTTCTAAGGGTAACCACCGAAGTATAACAGACACTCTTTAGTTCTCATTATTCCCTTTTAGGATAGCAACAAAACCTACAGATGTAGTGTGGCCCCACAACTTAACACTACAGCTATGAATGCATGGTGCAGAGAAGCCATTTTGCCATTGCTAGTAAAAAAAATGGCCTAACCATTACAAATTACAAATTACCTCAGGATAGTAAAAATACAGGTAAACAAGAAGGAAATACTAATACATGTATATGCCAATAAAGGCCAGAATCATTCAGCCCTATTTTTTTTTTAAAAAAATAGGATTTATTATTAATTTATGATTTATGGTAACTCCTACATCACGGCCCTTAATACTTACACACCATTATGGGAGCGGCTATTGGTTTGTTTTGGTGGCAGAGTGGAGCCTCCAGCACCAGGGGCAGCTGGCGCGCGTGTTTTCCGGTTGCTAAGCAACCCAACTGCCATTTTGTGATGCGATGATAAACACATTCCAAGGGCAACGGTCACTGGGGCCAGAATAGGCAGGTGCCAAGGAGGCACCGCAGGACGGAGGACCTCTGAGGACATGGCCCAGTCAAAGCCCGAAGTACTCCAACTAGAAGTGTAAATGGAGGGCATTTGAGGGGATTCCTCTGGGACACAAAGTTGAAATGGAGGATGTGTCCTGGGGAAGAAGGAGGACCTCTGGTTGCCCTAGATGGGCTTCTCAGTGATGCTCAAAAAGGAGGACATTTGGTGATTCCTCTGGGACAGAAAGTTGAAATGAAGGATGCGTCCTGGAGAAAAAGGAGGACCTCTGGTCACCCCAGATGGGGTTCTTAGTGATGCTCAAAATGGAGGACATGTGGTGATTCCTCTGGGACAGAAAGATGAAATGGAGGATGTGTCCTGGGGAAAAAGGAGGACCTCTGGTCGCCCTAGATGGGGTTCTTATTGATGCTCAAAATGGAGGACATTTGGGGATTCCTCTGGGACAGAAAGTTAAAATGGAGGATGTGTCCTGGGGAAAAAGGAGGGCCTCTGGTCACCCTGAATGGGCTTCTTAGTGATGCTCAAAATGGAGGACATTTGGGGATTCCTCTGGGACAGAAAGTTGAAATGGAGAACGCATCCTTGGGCGTTCAAAAAAGGAGGACATTTTAGAATTTCTCCTGGAGAAGAGGTTCAAATGGAAGACCCATCCTGGGAAAGGAGGACTTCTGGTCACCCTGAATGGGCTTCTTTAGTGATGCTCAAAATGGAGTATATATGGGGATTCCTCCTGGACAGAAGATTAAAATGGAGGACGTGTCTGGTCACCCTGAATGGGCTTCTTATCTGCTAGAGGCCATTTTGGAATCCTTCCTGGACAGAAGGTGGAAATGGAGGACATCTATTGGAGATAAAGGAGGACCTCTGGTCACCATGAGTGGGCTTCTCAGTACTGATCAAAAATGGAGGACATTCTGGAATCCTTCCTGGACAGAAGGTGGAAATAGAGGACATCTATTGGAGAAAGGAGGACCTCTGGTCACCCTGAATGGGCTTCTTTAGTCTTGCTCAAAAATGGGGGACATTTTGAAATTCCTCCTGGACAGGAGATTACAATGGAGGACCCGTCCTGGGAAAGGCGGACGTGTCTGGTCATCCTTGATAGGCTTCTTAGTGATGCTCAAAAATAGAGGACATTTTGGAATTCCTCCTGGAAAGAAGGCGACCAGATGTCCTCCTCACTGCCAAGGAGGACACGGCACCACAAAATGTAGAATATTCAAGAAAAAGGGAGGACATAGCCAAAGAAAACCTAACAACACTCATAGAAATGTAAACTTGTGCTCCTCAGTGATGTTCCAAATGGAGGACATTTTGGAATTCCTCCTGGACAGAAGGATGAAATGGAGGACATATCCAAGGTGACCAGAGGTCCTCCTCACTGCCAATTGGAGGGCCTTCATTAAAAAATGTAGGATGTGACCACAGGAAAGCTCAAAACACTCACAGAAATGTAAACTCATGCTTTTAGTCACTCTCAAAATGTAGGACATTCGAGGTCATTCCCACATAAACGCTGAAAACATTCATACAAAGGTATATTTGTGCTAGTCCTGATCAAAAATGGAGGACCTTTTGGGATTCCTCCTGGACCAGAAGGCTGAAATGGAGGACGAATCCTGGAGAGAAAGGAGGACCTCTGCTAACCCTGAATATCCTTCCTAGTGATGCTCAAAAATAGAGGACATTTGGGGATCCCTCCTGGACCAGAAGGCTGAAATGGAGGACATTACTGGAGAGAAAGGAGGACCTCTGCTAACCCTGAATGGGCTTCTCAATCCTGCTCAAAAATGGAGGACATTTGAGAATCCTTCCTGGACAGAAGATGGAAATAGAGGACATCTACTGGCGAGAATGGAGGACCTCTGGTCACCCTGAATGGGCTTCTTAGTCTTGTTCAGAAATGGAGGACATTTTGAAATTCCTCCTGGACAGAAAGTTGAAATGTAAGGCATGGAAAAAGTTAAAGGAGGACCTCTGGTCACCCTGAATGTGCTTCTAGCCATGCTCTAAATGGAGGACATTTGGGAATTTCTCCTGGACAGAAATGAAAGACCCGTCCTGGAAGAGAAAGGAGGACCCTGAATATCCTTTTTAGTGATGCTCAAAAACTGAGGACATTCGGGGAACCCTTGTTGAAAGCAAGCCTGAAAATGTAGGGCGCGTCCGGGAGGGAAAGAGGACGCGCCTGGTCGCCCTGAATGCCTTTCTTAGTAATAGTCAACAAAGGAGGACATTCTGGAACCTCCTTGGAAAGAGGGCTGGGAATGTAGGACGCGTCCGGGAAAAAGAGGACGCGTCCGGTCTCTCACGCACAGAACCAAATCCATCCATCCTCCCAGCCCCATCATAGTCGACCCCGAGGGGTCCCTCACCGCAGCTCCTCGTCCCTCCTCAGGGCGGCCCTTTCTCCTCAAGTCTCCTCAAGCTCCGTCTTCCGCGGCGCCACCATCGCAAACTCCAGAAGCAGCAGACAGAGAGAGAGAGAGAGAGACTGCCTTCGCCTTCGCCTTCGCCTTCGCCTCCTTTTCCCCTCAGCCGCCTTAAAGGCGGGAAAAGGCCTCTCCTGCCTGTGCCTGCGCTGCTCCAATTCCCCACAGGCGCCAGAGCCCACCTCAGCTTATTATTTGCTCTGACAAAAAGGCAAAATTAAGCCCACAAAATAATTAGGCTGAGCCTTAGGAGACTTAGGGGGGGTTGCAGACTGCCAGAAATAGTGCAAACTGAGTCCACTTTTAGGGTTAGGGTTAGTGCTTGAGAATCATGGGAATTGTGTGTGTTTTTTTTTCTGAGACATTGAGCCTTCTCTGTCAGAGAGCTCTGGTGCCACAATAAAATACAGTTCCCATGATTCCCTAACCCTAACCCTAAAAGTGGACTCAATTTGCACTATTTCTGGCAGTCTGCAACCCCCCTTAAGTCCCATTAAATACTAACACTAAATTGCACCGTGGTCTTCCAAATTCCTTCTTGTGTGACTGACTCCAAATCTTTTTTTTTTTTTTTTT